TTAGAATATTGTGAAAAGGTTCAAAATTGATGGCCCCTGGTGCCACACTCTAATCAGCTAATTAACTCAAACCACCTGCAAAAGCCTTTAAATGGTCTTTCAGTCTAGTTCTATAGGCTACACAATCATGGGGAAGACTGCTGACTTGACAGTTGTCCAAAAGACGACCATCGACACCTTGCACAAGGAGGGCAAGACACAAAAGGTCATCGCTAAAGAGGCTGGCTGTTCACAGAGCTCAGTGTCCAAGCACATTAATAGAGAGGCGAAGGGAAGGAAAAGATGTGGTCGAAAAAAGTGTACAAGCAAGAGAGATAACCGCACCCTGGAGAGGATTGTGAAACAAAACCCATTCAAAAATGTGGGGGAGATTCACAAAGAGTGGACTGCAGCTGGAGTGAGTGCTTCAAGAACCACCACACACAGACGTATGAAAGACATGGGTTTCTGCTGTCGCATTCCTTGTGTCAAGCCACTCTTGAACCACAGACAGCGTCAGAAGCGTCTTGCCTGGGCTAAAGAGAAACAGGACTGGACTGCTGGTGAGTGGTCCAAAGTCATGTTCTCTGATGAAAGTAAATTTTGCATTTCCTTTGGAAATCAAGGTCCCAGAGTCTGGAGGAAAAGAAGAGAGGCACTTCATCCACGTTGCTTGAAGTCCAGTGTAAAGTTTCCACAGTCAGTGATGGTTTGGGGTGCCATGTCATCTGCTGGTGTTGGTCCATTGTGTTTTCTGAGGTCCAGGGTCAACGCAGCCACATACCAGGAAGTTTTAGAGCACTTCATGCTTCCTGCAGCTGACCAACTTTTTGGAGATGCAGATTTCATTTTCCAACAGGACTTGGCACCTGCACACAGTGCCAAAGCTACCAGTACCTGGTTGAAGGACCATGGTATCCCTGTTCTTAATTGGCCAGCAAACTCTCCTGACCTTAACCCCATAGAAAATCTATGGGGTATTGTGAAGAAGAAGATGCAATACACCAGACCCAACAATTCAGAAGAGCTAAAAGCCACTATTAGAGCAACCTGGGCTATCATAACACCTGAGCAGTGCCACAGACTGATCGACTCCATGCCACGCCGCATTGCTGCAGTAATACAGGCCAAAGGAGGCCCAACTAAATACTGAGTGCTGTACATGCTCATACTTTTCATGTTCATACTTTTCAGTTGGCCAACATTTCTATAAATCCTTTGTTTTTATTGGTCTTCAGTAATATTCTAATTTTCTGATATGATGAATTTGAGATTTTCATTTGTTGTCATTTGTAATCATCAAAATTAAACAAAATAAACATCTGAAATATATGAGTTTGTATGTAATGTATGAATATAATATACAAGTTTCACTTTTTAAATGGAATTACTGAAATCAATCTACTTTTTCATGATATTCTAATTTTATGACCAGCACCTGTATCTTTCCCAGATCAGCAGAACAGTATCTCTACATGATTCAGACTTGTGTTCAGGGTTATGTACAATTTTAGTTTCCCAGTGCACAAGATGCTCGCAAACCAAAATGGGACTTCTGCTATCTTTCTTGAACAAGTAGCTTAATTATTAGATCCCTTCAGTGTTTAGTGTGGCGGTGGGCTTTATTTTAGGGTAAAAATGCAAAAAGTCTGAATGCAAATGCAAGCTGGAGTTTTTTTTTTTCCTGTTTGTGTAACTTGTTTCAAGGGTTTCAACAAAAATGAAACAGATTAGATGAGTTTTTAAATATTACTTTAATTTACCACTAAGAAAGCTAAAAATCAGTGTACTGTAGGTGTAACGTGTACTTATGGAGGGATGCGGGTCCAGGAATTTGTGGTAGTTAGGCTTTAAATAACTAAGGGAGTCCAAAGGTGCATATGAGGGGTGGTTCACAATGTGTGCAAAAGTTTCAAAGAACTCTTCTCTTTCCACTTCTCAGTTATGCATTTATGTGTTTCAGGTTATCACATAAAATGTTGATCAAATAGTCCTTAACTTTCAATTTTTTTTTGTCTTTTTGCATTTGTTGTTATGAAGAGAGCTCACATTTTATTTTAGAGATGTTCTGTAAAGATGAAAAACTGAAGTGAGAAAGTACAGCCCCATTGGATTTTTGTGTGTTTTTGCTTCACTGCTGCTTCCCATTTACTTCATATCCACTTTTGTTTTTCACTTCCTGAAAGGTGTGTTTCTGTAACTTAAATGTGAACAAATCTGACCGACAACCCTGACAGTTTTCCCTTGCACGCCATGGCTCCCGCTGTCTGGATTAATATTGTATGGGAATAGTGAAATTTACATTTAAAGCACACATCACCTCTGCTTCTCACTGGGTCAAGGAGAGCGGATGTGTTAAATAGGCTAAGTGCGACACACAGTGTGAACAGACTTAGCGCCTTGTCTCACTGTAGCTTACATCCTGGTTGGCTTAAGGACGAGGCAGAGAGGGGATGATGACGCTATCCAAGGATCTGAATTATAGATTATGCTGCGTGAAAAAGCTGCATGGCTGCTGGTGAGCATGCTCAGTGCTGCTGAGTGGACTCTGGGGAGTTTCCTTACACATGGGAGAGTCTAACCAAAACATCCTGCAGTTAAAACCACAGGGTGCTCTCACGCCGTGTGCAGCAGCATCTATTGATGCTGCAGGAAAAAGCACAAAGTATTTAAGCATTACTTATAATATGCAGCCAGTGGGACCAGTCTGAGGTCAGCTTGATGTGAGATTTTCATTTCTTATCAGTGGCGTGCTTCACTAATCTTTCGTTCAGAAATCGAAGCTCAAAGGAATATTTTCTGTGTGAAGAGAAGGGATGCATCAAGTGTGCACTTTCTGTCGTTTAATAGATTTATGCAGAGTTACAGAAAGTTTAGGCAATTACCCAGCAGCGCTGCAGGCAGTGTGATAGATGTCAGCATGCGCCATGACTAATGATGAAAAGCAGCCCTCCCTGCTGCTACCAGAGCCGCTGTTTAACCACATGTTTGGAAATTAATCGACACATTTATTCCACTGATTGCCTCATATTTACCTTCACAAGATTGTAAAGTTATGGTGTTTGGGGGAACTTATCCTTTAAGCACTTTGTTAAAAGTCTTTATCTGTTCAGTGCCTTTGCTTTAATAGTTTAATCTAAGTCGAACTTTTTTTTTATTTATCCATTAAAATGATCTTAAAACTTAAAATAAATCCTACTAACTAGCATTAGACGACATGGTCAGCATTTCGGTCGATACGATAGAATTGATATGAACAAAAGGAAATTTCCCAAAATCCTGCAAAAACATATTTAACTTCTCCAGTATAACATTTTAGAAATATTTGTTTTAAAAACAAAACCAATAAAACTAAACTGAATCAGTGAGTAACAAACACTGTAATCGTGGACTTTATTGAACTATTAGAAATATATTACTGCTATTGAACAAAGGGATATTGTTTAAATGTTAAATGCTCGACCATCTCTGACTGTTTATCTTGACTTTATAGGAAATTAATAGGTCAGACTGTGAATGTTGAACATTACTTGATGTTTTTGGTGCAATCATGTAAAATATGCAGGATAAATAGGGTTGATACTCATATTACTCACATTAACCCTCTCAGGCTCAAATTAAGTTGTAGTTGATATTTGGAGAAAATGATCATATGGAGTACGGTAGTAATATACAATTCAGACTTTTTTTGAGAAAGACCTTCACATGCAATGAATTCTGGGATGTTGCAGATTTGCAACAGTGGCCCGGAGTGGTAAATTAACACTGAAGACTAAATCTGATATGAACGTTAACTTTATTTAAATGTCACAAACAAAAAATTAACAAAACAAAATTTGGGGAAAAAAAGTTCTCTCACAAAATTAGAGACAACTTTTTCTCAAACTTTTTTTCCACCGACATCTCCAAACCTCTTGAGAAGGCCGTTTCTGTTGAACTGTTGCTCAAAATATAGGCAAACTAGTAGATATTTGCATCCATTGGTATCTGTTTGGCCACACGTTGCGAATCCACAACATTGAAATGGAGATGCCTCTGGTGAAAAACCCAGAGGAGATAAAATCTACTAATTGGCATGTGTGATATCTATACACATTCATGATTCATCTTATGTAGTATTGATTTCAAAATAATGGAAATTGGTAGCAATACTTACATGTAATTGGTGCTTAGAAAATCTGTTTCAGTGACACCAAGGACATGTTGAAAGTGAGTCAGCAGTGCTATCTGGTGAGCTGGAGAGAAACTGTTTGTTGCAAATGCACAACTAAGTCCTTCTCTTGTACTTCTGAGTAACAAAAGCTCTTAAAATATGGATGTGGAGTAATTAGCTAAGTGGCATTTAGCTGTTGCAAATCTGCAACATCTGCCTGAAGAGGGTTAATATATAAACTTTTGTGAGAAATTGTCACTATTGTGAATGGTGCATTTCAGAACTAAAGTTGAACTGAACAACATTATAAAATGGAACAAATTAGTTTAATTGTTTTGTAGATATTTCAACTTTTTCAACTTTTTGAGTTCATATCTTTGTTCAGTGTGTGCTAAGAATCAGAATTAGAATCAAGTTTATTGCCAAGTAGGTTTGCACTTACAAGGAATTTGACTTGCTGTTGATGGTGCAGACAATTTAGATATATATATATATATATATATACGGAATACAGGCTCTAGAGTTATAATCAAATATAAAACATACAATTTACTACATACATTATATAGTATACAGCTATGTACTATATACACAGTAGGCTGTGCGTTAATGTAATGCAGGAGTTCTGGAGATGCTACGTTGGTGTAAATGATCCTTAGTGACATTAATAAGACAATGAAAGCTTATTCAGTTACTTTGGTTTTAAGGAAATTCTTTAAACCTCACAAACTGCTGAGTCAGTCAGCTCGGTGGTTTCTCAGATAATCGCTCTGAATTAAGGCTATCAGAGAAGATCGGATGTTCTGATTGCTGTCTGAAATAAAATTGAGCGGATTCTGTCTGTGACTTCCTGACCCTTGTGTTTCAGATGAGCGGCAGGCTGTGTGTGTGAGGAAGTCTCAGAGGATGTTCCCGATCTGTGGGCCCCAGTGCTGAAGCTCTGCAGGGCTGACTGTTGGGCCACCATGTCTCAGCACCATCAATACCAGCGAGGCCTTCACGGCCGCACCATGAGCTCCGAGGACAGGAGCTTCACACCGGTGAACAGGACCGCCGCGCCGGTTCAGAAGAGCGCTTCTTCTTCCTCTTCCTCCCAGCGAGACAGCCGGCAGGTAATAAGCTTCTAACTCTCTGAGTAGTTCATTCGACCCGCAGATTTATGACATGGCTGCAGCTGAAGCCGCGATTGAAAAATCATAAGTTATCATAGTTTAGATTGCTGACTGATCCAGGAGAACTAGGTCAATAGAGGTTATAGGAATAGTTACCCATAAAGTAGGCCTAAAACAAGCTGAAAGTCACTCTATAGGTATTGATATTCTTCTCTTTTTTCTCATTTTGAAGGTTAAACGCCAAAACTCTTTTTAGAGTAGTGTTTAAATATGAAGAAAAAAAAAAGAGTGGTATAGAGCTAAAAGATTTAATCAATTGGGATAAGGGCTGGGCAATATGCACTTATAATTTACTCACAATATTGGTTGATATTGTGATTACGAAACCCTCTAAGAAAGAAAAACAACACCTCCTCACAGTTGTGATATTTATCGTGATAGCGATAAACATTATGATTACTGCCCAACTCTTATTGCAATTAATTATTTATTGAAATTGACAGTTTAGTATCTAAAGAAACTTTACCTTGGATGTAAAGACTCAAGTACAGTAAAATCTGTCCAAAAGTATATAAATTTTGCATTTAAGACAAAAAAAAAGAAAACATTCTTCATCTGAAAATGGGAAAGTGTTGGGCTTGTTGGTTAGAGCAGTGTGCTTGTGCTCTCACGAAGTGGCAGGTACCTGGTTCGAATCCCACTGCCTCCATTCTAGGTTCCTGAACAAGACCCTTATAACCTGACTCCGCAAAATGGATTTGCTCCGCATATCCATCTGGAAACCTTCCGTTGAAGTAATTTTGGGAAGGGGCGAAAATACTGGTTAGCTGATTGGCCTATGTTGGTGATAGACGGGCCAAATAAACCAATCAGATCAAGGAAGCAGAGCGACGACGAAGAGGAGCCAATTGATAGATCAAACTCTTGCCGAAACCAGTCGGGAGAAGAGCAAAACATCTTTTCCTCTGAGAAAAGCCTCCAGAGCAGTGTTTTGCTCTTCTTTCAGTGAAGAAATACTCTGTAATTTCGATAAAACTTGCTCGATAGCCACGCTAACGCTAGTTTCATCGGCTGAAGCCTCCATGTTCTTTAGACTGAACTGTCGCTCTGCTCGTTGCGTCACACCTCAACCCGCCTCAAAGCCAACGCTGATTGGACGTTCGTTTGGTGAACTGCTCCAAATTTTCTTTAACGGAGAGTAGCCAGACTGATTAGCGATTTAAACCTCGAAAGTTCGCGAGATCAGGATGGTCTCACGAGGCTAAGACCCTTAACCCTCTATTGCTCCTCGGGTGCTGCACAGTGGCAGCCCACTGCTCCCCAATAAAATAAAGTTAAATTATTATTAAATAAGCTCCATCCAAAGCTCCTGTAGGGCCTCAGTTTTACCTCCACCTGGTACAAACCATGTAAATTCTGTACCCAGGGGTGCAGCAATGAGGCTACCTTTAATTGTGTAGAAAAAAACAAAACATCACTAAGAACATCTGGCTTGACATACCCGCCGTTTGGGAACCCTTCTGAACCTGGATGCTCCACCCCTGCTTTTAAAGGCCCTCTCCCTCTCTGCTTGTGGGGGTTTGTGTCTTCATCTGCTTGAGAGGACGCTCAGGATGGAGAGCGGGTGGTCCGTGCTTTTGTATAACTGTCTCCAGCTCTTCAAACAGACAGGTTTATTTTGTATAAGAAGGTAATTGTGTTTTAAAAATCAAGTTTTTATGCTAAAATGTACTTATTAGGACCTCACACGCCCATAATGGGAAAATGCCATTTTCTGTAATACAGGAAAATAAAATGCAGGGCAACCAAATAGCCTTTAGAAGTGGGAGAAGCTGCAATGGTCAGCCTGAAGCCTACACACTAAAATATGCTGAGTGAAGCGTCATTATATAGGGATGTTTTTCTTTAGCAGGGAGGCTGGTCAGAGTTGATAGGAAGATGGATGGAGCTAATTAAAGGGCAACCCTGTAAGTAAAGATTTTATAGATGGTCGGAAGGGTCTCATTCCTGCAGGAAAATGACCCTTAAGATAGGTTCATAGCTTAAAAATATGGGGAAAATTTATTTGAATTACATCCCAGTTTAATTGCAAGCAAATGTGGTTCTTATTATGACCACAATAATGACATTAACATAAAAATAAATTGAAAATGTTCATGAGGCAAAAACAAACAACTGTTGAAAAACTCTTTATTGTGGTGTAATACATCTTTCATTCAGGAAGAGCATTTATCAATGAAGTACAGATTGAAACCTGATCAATGATTAAAAGTAGCAGTAAAGGGCAGACATCTTAGCAAGGATAATGTGGCCAAAATTATATTTTTATGTGACAGCATTGATTCTAGTCATTAGAAAACCATATGCTGCAACAGTAAGATGTAACCAACACAGATAAACAGTTAAAATCTCTCAACCTGTGTCGTAATTGTCTGGACTCAGATAAATGTTACCAAAAGGAACCGTTGTAAATTAATTTCTTGTGAAAAGTTAATAAAAATAAGCTAAACTTGCCGTCAGCCTTTGCAGACTAATTGGCAGAAATAGATCAGTAATAAATGAGTTGTGCTATTATGTCAGGGTTCACAGAACAGTAGCTCCAGTTTAACCCCCTGCATGAAGGCATCCGAAGCCCCCGGCTCCTCTGTCTGTCCCCTCTCTGCTGTGTCACCGTGTCCACGTGGAAACAAGACACCCATACTGGAATCTCTGACATCACAGCTTTTCCGTCGGCGCTGGCTGATGAATTTTTCATGAGGGACAGGCAGAGTCTCGGTGAACATGGCGCAGATTCTGCAAGCGGAGTCCACGGCGGCCGATTCCGTCTCTGCAAGAGGAAAAGAAAGAAAGCTAAAGGTTAGCCGAAGGCCTGCAGCTTGATGAGGCAGACAGTTCCCCCATTCAGACGTTCCTGCTCATTATTCCTTTTATTCTGCTGCAACCTTTTGATAAAAACGTTCACTGTGTTGTTTTCCAATTTACATACACTCTATTCAGTGTAGCCTAATTGATGAAGTCAAACATCAGCCGGACGAGGAGCTGTAACAGAAATAGGTAAAGCATCCAGGTTGGATGTAAAACTTAAGGCCTAGTTTTTTTGTAACTGTGATGGAAATTATATAATTTATAGGACATCCATGAAGCCAGTTACTTTGTGATGATGCAGTGCGACTGAGCTTTCACACAGAAAATTATATTAGAGACAAAAAAAAAGGTCTGTTCCACAGAGCTGCCGCTCTCTGAACACCTTTATTTTAAATGAAAGAGAAATGATGGTCTAAGCTGTTCCAAAAAAAGTTCAAAACAATCAACGTGGTTTCCAAGTTTTAAGATGTTTTGCTTCCCATCCAGGAAGCTTAAATGTAAGAATTGGCGTTGAGTTTGAAGTTTTATTTAGTAGCCCAAAAACTTATTTTTGGTTTTAGAAAACATGGAAATTTGTTTGAGCTCTCAAAAACCTACAATACACCTACAATCTTCACTAGCATAAAGTGTTAGGATTAATAGTGTTATTTAAGATTGATCTGAACTGGGAAAAATCCCCGAGGTGTTAACAGCCTGCATTACAAACCTGTGGACCTATTCGTCCGTCTTTAAAGCTCCGATCAACTAATAGTGTCCAAAATCTCTGAAAGATGCAGTTTTTTTTTTTTTTTTTTACATTCTTTATTTAAAAATATAATAAATCCAACATATATACAAATGTATCTTCATTTATGCAACTACAGAGAACATCAAACCCAAAAGTAGTGGAGAAAGAAAAAAATAAATAAAATAAAATACAATAAAATAAAATAAATAAAATAAAAAGGGATGGGGCTCAGCAAACATTCAAATCTGTTTCAGCAATTGACGGTTCTTAGAGGGGTCTTCATTAGCTCCCATAAATGGGAGGTGCATATGTCTAGTGTACCATAAAAGAGGGGAAATACGAACGGGGGCTGATATAATTTTTTTTTTTTTTAGCATATGAGGCTGCTAGTCAATAGCAGGGGCCCACACTTCCAAGAATATTTGCCATGGTTGAAGGGTTGGGGTAAAGGTTTAAGCCAAGACAGAGTTATCATTTTCCTTGCTACTAATAGCAGTATCTGCAGTAATTGGGCTTCCCTTTTCCCAATATTGTCTTTTGGGATCAAACCTAATATATAGTACAGTGGGTTCAGTGGTAAAGTAAAAAGATGCAGTTTTTAATGAGCATAAAACAGCTGGCATGCTGCTCAGAAGGGAATCCATGCTAGAGAGGAGGACCTCTGTCTACAATAAAAGGGTTACAGAATACAGAGAGAATACAGTTCATCATCAGGGATATGAAGCAGCTAAAACTGTGAGGAAATGAGGAACATAGGTCCTTAATGCAGATTAGACTATGTTTATAACAATATGAAGGTAAATGTAAGGATTGTTTTTAATAAGAGCAGGACTGTAATGGAAGAATGTACCACACTACAGATTAAAGAGAAGGGTTATCCAACCTGGTAAACTAGGCTACAACAAATTAGAGTATGGCAGAGGTGAGAAAAATGATCTGCTAAAAAGAAACTGCATTAAATAGCTGCAGGAGTTCAGCCATCTTTTTAAATTCAGAATCAAAGATGAGAAACTCGACTTTAAAAAGCTTCTTCTTTCCCGTCCATCTATGTTTATGTATGTATAATAAAGTCAGAGAAAACCGCTCCACATTTTGACAGATCAATCTATAATGCAGATTATGACCTGCTGGCCATTCATCCTTGATTTATTACTTTAGCAGCATTTTGTTTTTATTGAGACATGTTGATGTGTTTAGGTTGCATGTGATATTTTTACAATTTGTTAAAAATTAGGGGTTCACCCTGAGCTTTTTACAATATTAATTCGACTGTTTTCATTAAGATGATCTACATCAATTACTGATGTAGAAAGAAGGCTCTAAACATACGTCCACCAGATAGATGATGTCCTTAAAGTCTTAAGGAAGGCCTTAAAAACATTTCTCTCTGCTTCTTTGGTTATCTCTG